TAATACTAATACAACGTCTTTAAAAACTTTAGAGCAGATTCTAAAAACAGCACTTACTAAAATTTGGCGATATCTTAACTTAAAAGATAAGAAGTTAATAAAGGAGAACGTACTGCAGAATAGTATATACGATATTGCAGCAAATTCACCCTTAGAACAGAACTAGACATTAGCGCAAATATTAGAGCAGATATTTCCAGGGTAGAATAAACTTTTTGCAGAGTAGACTTTTAAAACTATAACTCTGCAGATAGAATAGATATTAGAAGAATACTCTGCAAATTAGCCCTCTATAATCCAAGAATATATATCTACTAAACAGACTTTAGAAATATCCTTTAACTAGATTATAAACGCAAAGGAGTATATAACTATAGAATAAGTATCCGCTGCACTGGAATAGACTATATTAAAGTAAGTATTCCCTGTAATAGAGTAAACGTCTACAGGATAACTACTAAGCGTGGAATTAGGAAAGGATAAAGAATTAGCGATTCCGGTTAACGATAGCAATAATAATAATAATACTTTAGTTGACGACAGCGACGCAGGATAACTGCTAAGCGCGGAATTGGGAAAGGATAAAGAATCAGCGATTCCGGTTGGCGATAGCGACGACGATAACGACACTTTAGTTGACGACAGCGACGATAACGATATAATTTACTTACCGGTACCTACGGCTACTTAGCCCTATACTTCGCCAGGAGAGTTTTCCGACTTCGAGTATTATATTAATATTGCTACCGCTGCCGGAAGTAACTATACCCTGCCGCCCTAAGGTTAGATATTTAAGAATAAAGAAGAAGTTGCCTATTATCTTAACCGTCTGTTGCTAAAGGCCGGTAGGGAGTACTAGCTTAATAATACTCTCGTTTTTGCCATCCTAAGTAAATTGCTACCTAGTATAGCAAGCGTTCTAGAGCTTCTAGTAAATAAAGGAAGTATTCGAAATTTAATTAAACGCTAAGAGCTAGATAATATAAGCTTTCTCGTTCTACTATACGCGTTCCACTATTACTAAAGTTTAGCCGTGGTTAATATTTATAAGCGAATTATTACTACTATTAGTAAAAAAGCCTCTAATAGGAGAATATAGGCATAGTATTTAAAGAAAGCTATCGACCTAAATCTAGGCGGATTGTAAAAAAAAGAGTAGAAATAGCATTCTAAAGAGCTATACCCTTATAGCAGAAGGGATATAATAAATTGCGGGACGATAATATGCTATAACGCCGAAGCTCTTATTCTAGGTATACCCTTAAAAGACGTCCCTTTTAGGGATCTACGGTTATACTACCTTTAACTAATTATGCAGAGCTATAAGGATAATCCGCGGAGTATTGCCTTTCTTCGCCACTTAGGGTTTAACTCTAAGAAAAGGAAATAAGAAAAAGATAAGGGAACCTCCGGAGAAGTTCCCTGCTCGCGATACTTAAACGCTAGTCGACCGTAACCCCTAGAGATATTATTGCAACTATTACAAGAGCACTAAGAGAATAAGATATTTATAAGCAAGATAAATGCTCGCATAGAGGAATTTAATTTTTCGTGTATTCCGGAGCTTTTTCTTAAGAAGCCAGCTAATCTCCCTAATAAAAAGTGCTTAAGAGTGCTTTAATACGCCTGCTAAATTAGATCTGCGGAAGTTTTTCGGACGCTAAAGCAAGTTCTAATAGACAATACCTTTCTTCCGGAACTCCCGTTTAATAAGCTTATAATAGTATTCCTTTAGCTTAACCTTATTTAGAAGATAGGTAAAGGTTACCTTAAACTTACTAGGAAAAGATAGGAGCTATACTTTCTATATAATATATTCGAAAACTCTATAGTAATAGAGAGAGAAAAGAAAAAAGTAGAGAGAAAGGCTTATAGTAAATATAAAAACCTTAAAGGCGACTATATAAGTTACTAAACAGCTAAACGCGTTATTAGGCAACGAATTTTTTAAGGAATGCGCGAGGCAATAACTAGACAGCTCCGGCAAATTACTAATAAGCAAAGATTAAGTATTAATAAAGAGATTAGCAGTAGCAAGTATTTTCTAAGTATAAATATACTTAACGGTAAGAAAATCGCTCGATTCTACTATAGATACACTAGAACCGATCTTTTTCTGCTGCTTCTTTTTCCTAGAGATTAAGTCTTGCCTTCTTAGCTAGACTTTTCTAAATCCTTTCCAGAATATAGCAAGAGCCTTAGCAAACTAATATAGGTAAAAGAGTGGGTAGTTAGCAAGGTTACTAAGACTTTACTAACAGTTATAGATTTAACGACTTTAATCTAGCTACTATATATTAGCTTAGGAAGGTTATAAGAAAACTGCGGCCCGAATTTAGAATACTTCCTAATTTCTTAATTTCTATTATATATAAGATCCTTAACTTTAGAACACCTTCTATAAAATTATAAGTCTAGTCTCTTTACAATAATAATAAGGAGTATAAAAAACAAACTGCACGCTTCTTTAAACCAGCACGTTCTCTTATAGAACCTTAGCAAGAGCACGGCTAATAATTTGTGGTTTATTAGACGAATAAGACTTTAGTTCCGCCGAAAATCGCTTTTAATGCGTTGGTAAGGGAGCAGCAGATAGTTTTAGTATAGTAAATTACACTATACTTTTAGAAGAAGTAATAGAAGTTGGCTCGCCTTTAGAGTTATTATTTGCTATATAATAGTAGTGGTGTATATAGAAAGTTGGCTCTATTAAGCTTAAAATATAAGTTTACCTTAAGCAGTTGCTGGAAGTTGGATATTTACTTACGTGCCGAGATCGGTACCTAAAAGATCGAGGTTTACCGCAGCAAATATAAGTGGGTTTAGAGTCTAAAGACATTTTTTGTGTAGTAATCCGAGTAATTTTCTAACCGCTAGTATAACCGCGTGTTTTATAAATATAGTTTAGCGATATTAGATAATTTAACCAGTTTATAAGCCCTATATTTAAATTATTAATATAGCAGTAAGTACTCCGCGTTATACTCCCTCTTTATATAGTCTTTTTAAGGCAACTTAAAACGGAGGTAAACTTAGCGCCTTAAAAGTATACCCGTAAAGAAACGGTTAGTTGTAAGCTAAAAGTGCACCTACTCTACCTATTATAATGCATTTCGTTTAGAGCTAATATGTTTAAGCGAGTGCACTTAATATAAAGTCTTATAGGCATAGCTATTAGCTTAGTATCTAGATTTGGAAACACGAAACAGTTCTTTTCGAAACTTTAGCTTTCTAATATTTAGTAAACCTTTTACCGGATCTAGATAAGTAACACCCTATTTTAGTTGTTCTTATTAGGGGCGTAGCAAAGACTAGAGCTCTTAAGGAACTTGCGCTAGATAGGAAATTATAAAATTTTAAGAGTAAAGAAGCCTATAGCGACTTACACCTCTATAGTAATATCTTGTCCTTTAAAGCGAAGTCTCCTATATTTATTATAGATAGGGCTCTTCTATTCCGGGTTAAAGGCGAAAAGTCGCTAACGACTAAGACATGTTATAGCGTTACTACTCGGATACTGCCTTAATCGGTGGAGAAATCCACGGCGCATTTAGACGATTTAGCTAATTACATCTACGCCCGTTTCTTAGCACTATTTGCTAATATATTCTGTGTCTTCGCAGCCGACTGTAGAGTTATTAAGCCCTTAGTTTAATATCTAGCTACCTGGTTTCGAAGCAGCCAGTCGTTAACTATTCCGAGCTTTATCCCCCCACGACTTCTTATTATTATAGAAGCTGAAGTTGCTATAAGACGGTTAGAGATAATAATTAAAAGCAATATCTAAAGTTTAATAGAAGAATAAATTACTACCAACTCTTTACTATAAGATTAGACTTTCGAAGTGCTAATTACTAATCCTTGGAGTAAGCGCTAAGGAAGGTTAAGAAAGCGTTTTATAACCTTATTAAGACAATCTTAAAGGGAATAATTAGGTCTACGGATCCGATTTTCCGCTAGGTATTTAGCGGCTTTCTTTATAGGGGCTTGCAGCCACTTTATAGAGGCTACTAATAAGCTATTTAACTTTATTAGCACTATAAAATCTTAGAACGCTGTATTACCTAATTTAGCTAAGCACCTGTCGAGATTTATAAATCTAGTTTAATTAACCTAAGACCTTACTAGCTTTGCTGCTCCTATAATTGCGTTAAGCTTTTTCCTTAATAATTATCCTCCGGATATACACGGTAGGCAGTATATCTAATTTCAACTTTAAGACTATTAACAGCAGATAGTGTTTAATCCTCGGCAGGTTTTCGAGAATTTGTATAAAAGTACTTGCTCTAAAGCTATACTCTCCTAGAATTATAGGAGCAAGATAATTAAGCCCGGCAATTTCCTCCAACTAATTAAGGATAATCTAGCTAAATACTTCCTAACTTATATATCTATAAGAGACCTTAGCGCTGCAGATATCTATCGGGCGAATATTCGGACATTTAGAGTACTATAGAAAGTGGTATATACTAATTACACTTGCCTAGTATATCTATAGAAAACACCTAACTTTATATTGCCTTATAGGCATTTCCTCTATAAAACTTATATAAGAATTTTCGGGGATAAAGGCCCGGACAACTACTAGGTTTATTATATGCTATCTTGTCTTCTCTATAGTATAGATTTAAATAACCTAAGCTTTAGAGTAAAGCTAGATATAGCTGGTGTTATAGTTCTTAGTATTAACGGCGGCGGTATCTAAGGTAGGGGCCCTTTGCAGGCACTATAGCTGTTGCAGGACAGAATTTCTTTTCTAATATAAGAAAGCGTGGATGTTACGTACGGAGCCAGCTTAGGCAAGTTTCACCGGGATTAGAAGAGCATTTCTAACTATTTTAGGCTTACTTATTATCTTAGGTATATTCTTTAAGAGTTGGTCTATTAAAACTTCTACTAAGGTCTTTAAAAAATTAGCTAGAGAGACTTTTGCACCTCGGTCGTCCTACTATATTCCTTTTATCTCCTGGTTTTACAACCTCCTATTATACTATATTTAGGGTGTCTATCCTGCGTTAAATATTAAGCGTGTTCTAAAGGAAGTATTTAGTAAAGAAATAAGTATTTTAGAGACTTCCTATGCGTTAGCTTACAGGATTAAGATAGGCCTGCCAGTAATTACTTCCCGTGGAACCTTACCGTGCATATTTACAAACTACGTCGGCTTAGGCACCCGGCCCGAAGATTATAGTAAGTTTTTTATAAAAGCCAGGTTAACTTAGTATCCTAAACTAAGCTAGGGTATTAAGTAATAAGACTAACTAACCGAAGGATTCCTCTCTAGGAGATATAAGATTTTCCTTTTGCTTTTTAAGACCTTTTGCTAACTTCTTAGAAGGGTAAGAGGGGCAACAGCAGCTCTATAGTGGAAAAGATGTCCATAGGCGCAATAAAAAATAGCTAACGTTTTATTTAGGTTCTTTACTCTATTCTAGATACCTGGCGTAGGACCTATTAAAAATAGCGGCCAATAGAAGAATAATCCTGTTAAGCTTACTTTTTAGGAGATACTTGTAATCTGGTTAACTATAAATAAGCCTAATTTCGTAATATTTTTTGGTATAGGATCGCCTAAGACTCGAAACAACACGGGATTTATTAGCTTAAAAAGGGCTTGGAGTTAGAGCTAGAACTTATTTCCTCGTCTATATTATATATTTATATAGTTACTTAGTGGAAAGAAGATCTAGCAAGAATTCTATAACCGATATTAAGCAAACTTAAGATCTTAGCATTTTCGGTTCGATGTTAAGTTTAAAGGAGTTGAGCCAGCACTGGATAATATCTCTAAGATGGAAGAAATTATAGCAAAGGTAAGAACACAGCTTAAAGACGCGCTAGAGATTAAGGCAGCAGCGCAGTGTCTTATAGCAACGCGGTTCTACTTTAAGCTGGAATTAATACCTACTAAATCCGGTGATTACTACTAAGGTACCGGATATATCTACTATTGCTTGCCATGCAAGAGCGCGCTATTTAAGAGACTTCTGTAATAACTAAAAGATAGCTCTGCAAGATTTCTTTTAGACGGCCAACCTGTTACTAGTAAACCTAATTAGTTAATATTAGACTTAGGCGGTATATTTTAAAAAAGAGTTTAATTTAAGACAAAAGCTGGGATAGAAATATCTCTAAAATAGGAAGGCTTTAAAGCACGCCAAATAAGCGGTTCCCTATTTTCAGTTAACGCACTTATTAATGCCTAAGGTTTAAATTTGCAGTTTAGCCGAGCGGACTATAAAAAGTGTAAAAGAGGGAAGGATTTCGATAAAGAACCCGAAAGAAAAAAGCGCAAAGGTAAATAGCGTTCTTCTAACTAAATTTGCAAGTGTTACAGACCCTGCACGAAGTGCACGAGTTAACGCGTAAGGATGGTGATACTTAGCTAACGCAGCTACCCGTTGGGCAATAGAAGAGATAAGAGGATGTAGATATATACTTAGCAGCATAATAAACTACTTATAAAAGACGTAAGCGTGCTTTATAAAGCACGTGCACGTTAAGAGGACTTGTTATTAATATTATTGAAATTGAGGTTAAGAATATCGAGCGTAAGGCTCGACGCTTGCCTAGCTATCTACTCCTGTCCTTACGTGTCTATTTTATAGCTTACTAAATAGCTCCTTTTATATGCTCGTGCATCTTGCTCTTTATAATACAGCTTAATAATATATAAAGCCCCTAATACTGCATATATAATCTATATATTTAAAAGTAATTATCCGTGCATATATAATATAAATAAGGCTAACCTCTTCTATACCTAAGCCTAAACGAAATAATCTAAAGTTATAAACAGTTAAACTACCTAAGTTAAAAAGCACCCCTATATATCGGACCGATACTCCTCGGTAAGTTTTTGCTAGGTTTGCTTAAACGTTAGCAGTGTATTCTTTAGGTCCTCTATATATTACTATATCTTCTGCTCTAATATAGTGCCGGCCCCCATCAGCTCTATATAATAGGCATGCTTTTACTAGAGTTATCTATTCTTATTCTAGAAGAACTTTAGTATCTGGTCCGCTGGGATATCGGTTTTAACTTGTTTAGAAGTTTTTAAAGGCGCAGGCATTGCAGATAGGAAGGTATAACTATTTTAACCGACGGCGCCCAGTACTAGCGCTAATTTCTTATATCGAGGGTCTGGCCCTTTTAGACTTGCCCTACGAAAAGTCTTGGATAATTAGCTAATATAAGGTGTCTTCGGTTTAGCAGTGTAACTATTACTTGGATTAATACTAGCAGGCTGTATTATAGAGTTATAACCTTGTTTGCAAAGTAGGAAAGAATATTATAGGCAGTAAGAGATTATCTCCTATATAGACTTTTAAGTACTTATAAGAATTTACAACGTCGCTTTATAGACCCCTTTTGCTGCCGTTTTAGACTTATATATAAAGTGCTAAAGTGTTTTAAAAATTTTACAGAACTATTTCTTATATTATTATATAACCCCCTTATAAGCCAAGTACAGGTAATTATATTACAATTGTCCAACTCCAAATAATAATAATGCCTTCACCCGATTAGTAATATAATCTAATCTAGCCTGCGACCGAGAAAACTGGTTCTAGATAAATTTAGAAGCAGCAAGTATAACTGTATATAATGCCCTAAACACGCCTTAAATATTATGCTTAAATGCTCTAAATATAGATAAGTTAGCGCAAGAACAATAAAATAAAGAGCAGGCACCTTACCACTTAAATTCGGTCTAATATAAACTTTCCGGTAGTCTGACAATATTGTCCCTTGCCCGCCTCTTCTTCTTCTTAAACTTCTCTAACTACTCCTTATACTCTTCTAACTATTAATTTATCTTACTTTGCAATAACTTATAAAGTCCCCGCACTCTAGATTTATTACTTGTGTTTAAAGTTAGGTATTAGCCCTCTCGGCTTGTTATAGTAAAAGATAGCTTAATTAAAGTAAAAGAGTTAGTTCTAGTTTTTTAGATAAGGGAGTATCCAGCGCCTCTATAATCCAAGGCCTGTCTATTAACTTCCCGATATAGAATATAAGTGCGGCGCGGTGGGTGTTACGGATGTCGAGCTCCCGTAAAAAAAGACCGGGCCGTTGCGAGCAAGTCTTTCGACGCGGCTAGAGCGGAATACATAGGGATATTTTTACTGTTCCTTCTAGATCTATTAGGGATCGACGATATATTAAAGAACTGTGCAAGTGCGGTATAGTACCTATATTGTATAAGAGTTATATAAGTATAGTAGCCGAGGCGTGGAATTATAGTAATCCGCGCAGTATAGTAATCCTACCCCTTAATATACTAATTATAAGGGTTAGGTCTAGTAATAGAAGTTCTTCCTAGATTAGCCTTCCTAGACTAGCCTTAATCGTGGCTATTTCTAATAGGGACTAAATTATGCTCCCTTATTACTAATATCTCCGCAGTACCCTGCCAGCGTACGCGTAGCTTAAAGTATAATAGCGCTAGTATTCTTACCGCCAGACTTCCGTTATAGGCACGGATTTCTGTGGTTCTGCGCGGTATAGCAGATAAAGCCTAAACCAACTACAACTATACTATACTAAATATTGCTGCTTAGTTTAAGGGTTTACTTTCGTCGGTTAATTTTATTAGCCCTATGCACTTTCCAGTTATAGTTATTACCTTTACCAGCGGAGACTAAAATATATTCTCTACTTATCCTCCGCATATTACAGCTCTCTATAATCTGCACTTTAGATATTTTATAGAAATATAGCATTTTTATTGGATAATAACCCCGCTATTATTTCCCTTTTCCAAGCTCTAGATAAATTCGAGAAATAGGAACACGTAAAGGATATTAAGCGGGAAAATAGAGCTATACAAAAGCTTAAACGAGATAATAGAGCTCTAAAACGCGAGATTAGGTACTACAGGAAATTGTGGTATGCCACAACTATTCTGCTGCGCATCGGACTTAACAACGTTCTCGCAATATAAGCGGCACTCGAAGAATTCATCGAAAAAGAAAGGCTTTCGGGTAAAGACTGGCTAAAATATTGGGAAATTTCCGCAGAGCCCCTATAAGAGCTTAAATATCAGCTTATAAGATAGCTATAGGATAACGGTAAGACGCTATTTAATAATTGTGCTAACTCTCTTTAATATAGTTCTAATATTTATAGCTAAAATCCGTTATTTCTTAGACTTTACAGGGTCTATCGCCTAAATATAACTATTAACTTTATATCTGAAATCCCACGTCCACTGCTTATATGCCGCAATAAATTAATCAACGTTTTTAAGCGCACTGCAATCGAATTAGATAAAGTCGCATTCTATATTACTGTGTTAGTAATATACGTTAAGTTTACGTGGACCCTAGGGAATAATAAGCAAACGTCTATAAACTTTAAGCTTAGATAGACTTACTCCCTCTAAAGATCGGCGAAAGTCTCTCGGAGAGGATGAAGTTCATCCCGAATTTCGCGCTCGATGTTGTCGAGCTTTCCCCGATTCTCTCTAACCGCTGTATTAAGATTATTAATAGATTTCTTAATATCTTAGAGTATTATTATAATATCGGAGGGCTCTACTAAGGTAGCCCTACTACTATGCTAGGATAATAGCGTTGTATTTAGAAGCTGCTCGGAAGACGGTATTATATCTAGAAAGTCTATAGCGTCCTAGCCCGGTGTAATATAATTATATAGGTATATATCTACTAGCTGGGTAAATATATTAAACCCTGAAAACTAAGTATAGGCGTTGTAATTTGCCATTTTTGCACGGAGGAGAAATTAATTTATAGAAGGAGTTCGCGCGGTATTTTATACTAAGTATATAATACTTAAGTATTACTTAAGTATTAACTTTAGAAGCTAGGAAGGTTTCCTGGAACACTAGTTAGACTTTAAAGCGCGCGGGAATAAGGCTGGCAGGTGCTATACTTAGCGCTCCCCTTACTATTAGCGGGTACTAAATAAGGCAGTAAGCCGATAGTTTATAAATTAGTAGCCAACTCTGTAAACATGCGGCGCAGGCGGTAAGACTTCCTAGCTAGTTGTTGGACTAATCCAGAGGCTAACGGGTATTATCTAATAAATGCCCCTAGGCTCAGATAACTAGCGCAAAATATGCGCGGCAGGATCTTTTTACTAGCTAGCCCTTATTTAAACGAACGGCTTCTTCTCTAAGAAATATTGTTAATAGCTTAACTAGACTCTGTTTATAATACTACGCAAGCATACAGTTACTTTCTTAAGAAAGCTCGCAGAATAAATAGTTAGAGCAAAACTACGCCTTTAGATATTCTAGTAAGTACGGGACCTGTACCTTTAGTTTATTTACCTAACCTATATAGGGGAATTCCGCTAATATATAGCAAAATGTCGAACTAATAAATCAACTTATCGCCGCTATTTTGAACTTAATCTAAGAAACTAGGCGGATAGCTTAATCCCTTAAATAAGGTTTCTTAAAGGCCCTCGACTCTATTACCGCCGAACTTTCCGCTTTATATATAAAGTATACTAAATGCTATAGAGTATATATTACTAAGTGTTATAAATATAATAAAACGCGCCAAGGCCATGCCTAAACCTGCGCTGCTCTCGAAAAAATAAAACAGGACCTTAGTTAGGCGAACAAGTTACAGTAAGCTATATATACAAATATTAAGCTGCTAAAAGGGCAGCTAGATTAGTAGATTAAGCACTTTAACTCGATTAAATAATAAGAACAACTTTTGCTAGCAGGGATTAAGATGTTAGAAGAATAAAATCAAGAATTAAAGAAAATAATCCAGCACGTATATAGCCTGAACAATATAGATAATTGGAAGGAATTAGAAGTATTAGCTGTAGGGGATTCGATGCTTGAACCTAAAGTTAACCTTAAAAAATAGAAGGAAGAAACGGGTGCTGGCATAGCATCTTATAGTCGCGGAAAGGGAAAGAGACAGAGAAAGTCCTAAATACCTACCTTGCTGTCTCTTTTTTTAATATACTATCTTATCTATTTATCGCGTTACTTAGTAGATCTTTGCTCGTCTATTTATCGCGTTGCTTAGTAGATCTTTACTTGTCTGTTTATCGCGTTGCTTAGTAGATCTTTACTTGTCTTTGTTTATCTTTAAATACAGTTCTGTGCGTAATTGTTTTTATAAATTATAAAATAAAATCGCTAAAGCCTTTTAGCTTATTCTGTAATATACTAAGGAAAACTTCTATAATAAAAGTTAAAGGGGTATTAGAAGCTAGGAAGTGGCTTAGCATGCCCCTACTAGTTCTTTTAGAGTGTAGTTCCAAAAATACGCCAACGTAGAAGCCTCTCTAGGTAGGAGAACCTCGGTTCCCTTTCTATTACCTGGGGCATCTTATTTAGCGGGCTTACTATAACTACTATAAAGGCTCCCTCTAATTATAGCTAATTTAATCTAAAAGTAGACGCCGTAGGCTATAACTATCGATAGGAAGTTCTGCACTTATAATAATATGCCAAATCTCGGACCGAATTTATTATAGCGATGAAAAACACCTGGATTTGCTTTTTTAGCCGGGAGCTTATCTAGGCCCAGAAGGAGCCGGAACAGGCTACCTAGGGCGTGCTTACGCTGCTCCAGGTAAGCTGCTTAAACTAAGGGTTGCGTCCCTTTAATGCGCGCCTAACCCTATATTATACTAATATCCGTTCCTAGGTAGCGCAACACCTACTGTACCGCAATAGATAAGGGGTATATTAACTTTAAATAATTTATTCTCTATACGCACGTCGATATTTCCTATAATTTCGTATAGGTTATATACTGTGGCCCTTAGAACCCCTCCTATAGAAAAAATACGTTCGCATTATCGCCTTTGCACCTAATATTAGGAAATCGCTATTAGCCTTATAGCTGCTATTGCACACAAATTTATAAAAGGTCGCCACTCTAGCAGCCTAGTCGGCACTTCTAATTAAGGCACTTACTAATCCCGGCTAACTAACTAACTAGTACCTGTACGTCCCGAGTTGGACTTAGCGCAGCTAGAATTCGTCGACGGATTAGTAAAGGGAGACCGTATTATAAATAGCTCGAATAAACATTTTTAGGATATATCTGCGCACGGCACTAAGACATATTTATAAAGGGCTATCGAGATTTTTCAGATACTATAGCCGGAGGACTATGCAACGCAGATATAGATTTTCTTTAGAAATGTCCGCATACTATTAGAAAGTCTAGCAAATTGCTTCTACGCTAATTATTATTAGGAAGAGCGTGCGAATTAGAATGCAGACTTAGAGGAGATCTTAAAGAAGCTTATTATAGTTTGCTGTGCCTAGTTACCTATATATTAGCGCGTAACGCTATAGACTAAGAAATTTACAATCTCCTACGCGCGCGCCTTAAGCGCACCTTAAGCACTAGCTATTCGCTTATCTGCGCTGCTGGGGCCTTCTATGGCGCTCCTAGGGCTTAACTTCGCTTATCTATGCTACCTTTACTGGCTCGAGTTTGTTTATCCGCCTTTAAGGTATCTTCTTTTATTATATAACTATTAATTTAATGCTCTAAAGTTTGGAATTCGGGGGATAGTTGCGTGCAACAGCTGTAGGTATATTAAAGTATTAAGATATCACCACTTTATTACTTTTTCGGAGGAAGTGGATAGGAAATATTTAGATATTTATTAATAGAATAGAGACCTAATTTAGATGAAATTTTAACTATAACTCTTTAATAAGACTATAAAAATAGAGATATCCGTGTCCTAGTTATTATAATACTAATATAATTAAGGCCTCCATGCGTATTCCTGCTAAGCACACGGTTAAAGCCTTCGAAGTTAAACCCTAATCCGAATACTAGAGGTAAAACTTTAGGTAGGACTTTTACTCTTACTATAGAGGCGGCGGGCAAGTTAGATATCCTTTATTTCTGGCTAATATTAGCAAGGTTTATAGAATAATAGTAGAGTAATCGTATAGATAGTAACTTACTTAGCGTAAATAGTATAAAAGTTAGTGTCCTTAAAAAGGGAGACGAGATAGTCTTCTATAGACTTTTAAAGAGCGCTAATAGCAGAAGACTAAAAGTAGAAATCCGAGTTAAACCTATAGGTAATCTTACGGACGAGACGCTGGAAAAGGAGCTTTTAAATTAGAAGGTCGGTGGACTTCTAATAGCAATAGATCTTACGGAGAGCAACAGTTTCTAAGACTATTAAGGCGATATTAAAGGTAAATATAGAGAGATATACCAGGCTTATATCGGTAAGGCTTCTTAACACCTCCGGTTAACAGGGCGGACTTGCCAGCGGCCTTAGAAGCCAGTTACTTGCGCGGAGCCTTACCTCTAACAGATCTACGTGCGTTTTACTTAGTGCGAACTATTGCAGATATTATATAAATTTAGAACCTATTAAAGGTAGAGAGAAAGCAACCAGCCTATCTCTATAGTCTAAACTGTCTATTTCTGCGACGTTATATTAGAGGCACCCCGGCGTAAGCGCCTTACTACTTAGCCCTTATTATATAATATACACCTTAGTAAATAGGCACCTAAAAATAGCTTAATAGGAATCGGATACCTAATATAGGTTAACCCTAATTCCGTCCTTGCTAATAACTGTAGCGACTTAAAGCGTTAGCCCTTTATTTATTATTAATAATGCAGGCAAAGAAAAAGTCTATATTAAGTTTAAGCAGTGTAGATTATTATATATAAAAATATCGGAAATAAGAATAGAATAGGGTAAAGAGCGTATATAGGCTTAATACAGAGTAAAAGAAGGTAAATATGTAAGGTTTGCTTACTGCAGGGCTTTACTATATAATATAGAGAAAGGCAGCGTATAAAGGGAACCTAGGAAAGGTAAAAAGGTAAACTTGCATATTATATCTACTAAAGTAGGGCGTTTAGAGTATTTTATTTAGAGGGTTAAGTATTAAGGCTGCTGGGGAGTAGGCTTTCCCAGTATAAAAGAATAGATAGTAAAAGTATATATAGTAAAGATAAGAAGTATAGTAAAGCAGGAGATATTAAGGAATAGCAGGTTTCTACTTAGCACTAACAGATTTTTTAGCTATATAATATTTTGCCTGCATATTATTCCCTAATAAAGAAATGTAGATAAGAGCCTATTTTACCTTGCAACGGCTCTAGAGCTCTATAATAATATACTAATCTCCTAAGTATTAAAGAGAATAAATTCAACTCCGTATTAAGGGAGGCCGTTTTTTTCTCTACACCACTTTACAACGAATAAACTCCGCGACACGTAATATAATTTCTTATCGATTGGTAAGAGACAGATCCTATATAAAGAAGTGTAGTAACGGCGAAGGAAGTGCTAGTAATAACACGACGAAAGGGACGACTAGCAGGCGCAGACGCAAAACGAAGTGCAGATACGCAGCACCTGCTGCGCTTAATAGGGAGCGTATTGCCACGGCCTTATAAGGAGAATAGATTACAGGGGTTCCTACTATTAGTAGTGTAGTTAAGGTATTATAGGTTTAGTAAGGGAGAGCTCCGGGCTCGCGAGCTATTTACATCTATATAGGACTAATTTTCGGCCCGACGTTATATAATTCAATATAACTACACATAACGCTACGTGATAAATTACCCTTCGAGGCGCAGCGCCTAGAACAACGTGACACCTAGCTTTTATCTGCAAACACGCAAATTTAAATTAAAAACGCCTTTAGTAAATTAACTAGCCTCTTATTTCTCGTTATTAAACCCCCCCAGGCTATTCTATTTTTAGAGCTTAACGGATATATTATATATTTCTATGCTGTTAAGCACCTATCTAAATATATTATTTTATTTATACACGGAGACCGGTTTAAGTATATATAGTATATAGCTTGTAGTTTTCCTAGGGCATAGTATATAGCTTCTTAAGAACTATTTCCGAATCCGCTAAATAATAGTTCCCGGTGAAGGCATGCTATGCAAATTAGATAAATATCTCCTTATTAAGGTTTTCTAATACGCAGCTAACTTTTATATTTAAGAGGTGTTTGTTAACTAAGGCTCCGTGTGTCCGTGAATAATAGGCTATAAGTACGGCGTAAACGGTAAAAGTTTCTTTTTTATCTTTAATCCCGAAGGTAAATAGGTAAGAGCTTAGTGTGCTAATTTCTATATTTAGCTAGTTCTAGAAACTTTGCCTAGCATTTAAGGTTAACTTACCTTTTATATAAAAAAGCTATTATAATATATTAGTAATATAGAAAGAATACCTCTAAACCTTTATTTATATAAATAGTATAAAGGCTGGGCAGAAATTTCATAGCTACCGAAACAAGACCGCGTTAGATATAGTAGCTGGCGCCCTTATTAGAGTAAGGTGGCCGTTTTCCTACCTAAGTAGAAGGGTAGCGAAAAAAGGGTTCTATATTAAGAAATAGAGACAGTCTTAAGTCCAGCCGTTCTTTTTATTAGAACTGTTAAAGTTGCCCTCCCTATACGCAACTTTAAAACCTAGTTTTGCTGTTCCTCTACAGGGGCAAGGGTTTTAATAGCGCAGCGTTTGCAACTATAATACCCGAGAACAATTTATAATTCCTTGCAGCTTGCCCCTCTAACGCACTAAAGCAACGCAATATCCTCTCTAATAAGAAAGAGAGCTCCTAGTAGAGCGCGGACTTTTTAGGAACACTAATTACCTTATAGTAAGGTTTAGTTAGGGTGCTAGGACTTATATTAGTATAGTGGCTGGACACGCCCTAAATATTAACTTAGCTTTCCAGAACATCCCAGGCACTAGCAACTTCTACCTCGCCTTTACCTTTAATAATTAGTATAGGCCGATAGTAAAAGACCTGGGCTCTATAGGTGGAACAAAAGTTACCTATAATAGGAAGGAGGAAGAGCGCCGGTTTAAGTTTAACTAGCTATTAGAAGGACCTGTTATTATAAGGGGTAAACCACTAATTCTTAATATTACAGACCTTATTTAGTTTAAGGTTATTATACCTCCTTATAATATTATATCCCCGGACTATATTAACAGGGTAACTAGATTCCGCGTGGGCACGGCAGATCCTGGGGACCTCTTCGCCTCTTTTATCCTCTTAAATATGTATAGAATATAACAACTAGAGAAAAGTATATTATAAAGAGGCCGCTGCAGAAGCTTATTAACAGTAGTAAAGTTGATAAGGAGAGCTAGAAAAGGGAGGCTGAAATTATAGGTAGTATTTCTTATATTAGTACTGCACCTAGCGTCCTAATATTTTTATATTAGTCTATACTAATAGCTTGCAATCTTAGGATTATATTGTCGCGTTTCGAAATGCGACGTTCTCTCCCTATCCCTAATTGATTTTCGAGTAGGTTCCCGGCGGCTCGCTCGACACCTATTTTAACTTATTAACCTTTAAAAGCATACAGGTTCTCTGCTAATTATCTTCGACCCTAGAATATACTAGAATAGGCAACTCTAGAAATCTACCGAAAGGCCGCTAATTAAAAGGCCACCGCTAATAATATATACAGCGTGGCCGTCGACATCTAGTCTCTTAGTATAGTTATTACTTTGCTAGAGTATACTAGGCTTCTAAAGTATAAGAACGCGTGGGCAACAGACGCCGTGGCCTGGATACACGCGGTATATGCGCATATTATCGACCACTATAAGCAGTAAGGCAGCGAGCTTCTCTAGCTTCTCCTTAATAATATGCTGGTTAAAAATCCGGATAAAAAGTTATCGGCAGATTATTGCTATAATAAGGCGCTAAAACTCCTGCAATATATTGCTAACACCCGGTACTAAAAGTCTACGCCTTTAGATAAGTCTACGCCTTCGGATATAGAGTTAAGTAATAACAACAACGGCTTAACTACTCTAAACCTTTAATACTCGGCGCCTAGTTTACTATAGAGTCTGTAAGCGCAGAGAAGGTGTTTATATTTTGTCTAGATATTTAGCCTAACTTATAGAACGGCTTAGAGATATAGATTAGAAAAATAGTGGAAGATATCGATAAAAGTCTTATTATAAATTGCAATATCGTTAATCCAACTAATTCTAAAGAAAAATAGGAGCGTTTAGGTGCCCTAGACCCTAATACTTAGCCGAGCCAGGTTCTAGACACCTCTATTAACCTATAGTAAAAGAGTATAGTAGATAGATTACTATAGAACCCTAAAGCAGCAAGTCCTATAAGCAACTATAATAAAGCTATAGAAGGCGGCGCTGGTAAGGCTTAGACTAAGGGTCCGCCCGAAGAGCAGGATAGCATATCCTTTCTTATTTGCTACTACCTTAGCGGCAAAGTTTAAGAATATAGGGCGCAAGAGGCTATTAAGACCTTAGGAATAGAAGCAGGGTTAGCCAGCGGTTAAGAGCCTATTATCGCCGCTCCCCTGGTTTTTTACTTATCTACTTTTAGGAGTCGCGGCTTAATAGCAAAGGGCTACCGCTAGATTATAAACGGAGCAAGAGGGGTAAATAAGTAAAAACTTAGAGTTAGGATAATAGCATAATCGCATAGGTATAAATAGAATAAATACATCTATACTATAATACTAGTTAATCCTTTTACAGGCTGTATATATATCTAGGTATAAGGGATAGTCCTTATATATAATAATATAAGGCTGGGTTAGGAATATAGGTGCGAAAGCTAACTTAGCTAATATAAATATATACAACGCCCCCCTTGTATTTCCCGCGCGATTATAACAAAACTTCTAGCTTACTCTTACCTACCCTATATTTCGATTGGCCGTATTTTAAGCGTCTCTCTTAAGCTTTTTATTACTTACTATACTATAAAAAGCAGTATTTTCCTGTTTGCGCAGGCCGCCTGCGCGCGCGCGCGATTTCTTAAATATTGTTTACTAAAGCCTAAGATCCTGCTTTAACCGCCACGGACCTCCTAGTCTATAATAAAAGACAGCTTATTTAGTATTTAGAGAGAAATAGCGATAATAATAGTAGATTTAATATTTTAGGTCTTATTAGTATAGAAAGACTTTTAAAAAGTTAATAAAATAAGCTAGCAGGGAGACTTAGGTAAGAAGGCTCGCGACACTCGGTGTATTAGTTTGTCTTATGCTAATAAGCATTTCTAAGCAGTGCTGCGGCTTTGCAGCTAGAAAATGCGACGGCGTTGCAGCCTCTTAAGATTAATAAACTTTTCACGCGCCTAACAAGCGTAGCCGATAAGCAATCTCCGGACCCTGGACTCTTATAACCGCTAGCCGAATTATTTAAGTTAATAGAGAGCACCCTACTACTTTACTCGTTCTTTATATTTAAAGAAGAACCCACGCTAATAGACTAAATAGACTAATTAGCTCGAATATCTTAGCTATAAGTAATAGTAGTTAGAAAAGCTAACTACCGTTGCAGAGCCTCTAGAGGAGCAATATTACCAAGCTTTAAAAAAGCTGCTTAAAACACCTTAGTAGTTAAACAGCATAAACGCGAGCGGCTTAGCAGCTTCGGGGTCTATATACACTCGATAATATTATCTGGCGAAGAATGTCGACCTGGCTAAGGAATTAAAAGCAGCTTAAGCTGCCCTAGATGCGACTAATAAGATAATTAACAACTTTATCTAAGAAACGGCGCTATATAGACTTATATAGACAGCTGTCTACTACTAAAGGTATTAAGTAGAGTAGGCTATTAAGGAGGTACGTTTAATAGAGACCGAGATGTCCTAGCAAAGCAAGACGGTAAAGAGCAATATAAAGGTCGACACAAATAAGAATAAAAAAAGGCGACGCGGTGATAATAAGGTAGAGATACCCCCCGAGCCACGGCCTAAGAGGACTGTAAAGCCTCTATCTATTAAGTAATAGGCTTTTCTAGCTCCGGAGATAAGGCTTTAAGAAGGTTAGGATTATTATTTGCCTTTTATACTAATTTAAGACTATTAAGCGCCTTCTAAAGCTTTTTTAACCCCTTTTTCTTTAGATAAAGTTTTTTTAGAATATTATAGTATTTCTATTTAAGTTAGCAAATAATAGTCTATACTAATAAATATACTATATACCTGTGTATTCTATTAAAACTTGAATATATTTTGCTCTCCGCTAAATTCCTAGAGCATTTTTTGCTCCCTTGCTTCTACTATAAGGCGAACCACAGCTAGGAGATACTTATAAGCCTTTTTTATTATATTTTTATTTGTAGAGTTCTTGTATATTAGTTGCAAGGCTACTATCTTTACCCACCGTGCAATAGCAGAACAGCGAAGAATATATTCTCTAATACCTATAGTCTGCCTACTATCTCTAGAAAGGCGGAAGACAGAGTAAACAAAGCCAGCCGGAAAAAATATTGATATTCTAGTCCGAAGCACAACAAAGCACTAATTTCCGCCTTAATAACTGGACAGATCTTTTGCCTAGGACTTAAGCTGTTTATCTATTAGGCGATCTAACTAACTAACTCTAATTGTTCCTTTATTGCAAGTAATAAAGGTGTCGAAGCCGTAGGCATCTATGTAAGGAGCCGTATAGGTTCCAGGTTCCGCGAGGAGAATCCAACCTTGCACTTCTCGAAACTAATTATTTTGCGTAGAGCTGGTGGTAATTCGGCCTGCCTATCCTGAACTTAGAACAGCCGTTCTAATCCTCGTAAGAAGGTCGCAGTTGCTATTCTGAAGAAACTTTGGGCAGATGCTGTAAGTCTCCGGGAACGGAATTTTCAAATCTAGGACGTTCCAGCTATCGCCATAATCTGTATTTCCCGCAAAGCGACCGCGCACCTCCCTTATAGTCTTACGACTGAAGCTAACGGCGGTTCGGGGAAGTAAAGCAATATTAATATCCACTGCGTCATCTAAGGCGGTGTATTTGGCAAGGAGATAAGAGATTGGCCGCGACTCTTCTGGCCAGGCGAAGTCTTGTTGCCCTAAGCCGAAGATTGGGACTTGTAAATTGCGTGGGGAGCTTAATAATTGTTTTGCCTCGGCCGTCGTAAGAAACAGAGCCTGAGCCTTGTCAATTAAGACCCCGGGTTCCAAATTTGTCGTTGGGGCAACAGCGACGTTGAGGATTTCTTTAATAATAGAGGCTGTAAATTCACCCCACGTATTCCGAGGGCCATCAGGCATTTCTCGAAGCTGTTGCAAAACCTGGACTCGAAAATCGTTGTCTTGTGATTTATCGTGCGTGACAGGGTCGTTTGGAACAGTATTGCGAATCACATTAGGTGATAGATTAACGTTGGAGTCGTCAGGGGGACATGACTGCTGTCCTAGGCTCGTAAATATTTGATGCTTGAGCATGGCTTCCCTTATTCTCGCGACATTGACCGACCAAGGCTTGGGGGCTTGTAGAAAGGACTCCGGATTTTCCATAAATTTCTCGATGTACTCAAGAACAAAAATGCCGCACGATATGCCGTCCTTCTATCTTGGAAGCTTGTCGAGGTAGACTCTTTTGGCGATTTTGCCACTGGGGAAGTGGCCAACAAGATCACTTTCTATTCTTTCAATCGCCTTGGGATAGGAACCACGTAAAGAATCCAAGATATAGATGTCCCAGATGTGTGGATTCTTTGCAAGGACGGACTGATACTTCTTTGCAAGGATGGCCAGATACCAGTAATCAAGATCAGGATCGTGAATTGGATGGATGAGAAACTGGTGTTGTCCAAAAACCTCCTGCCGAGTTTTGCGCAGACCTTGAAGTGAGTCGATACCGTAGCATCGACTGTTTGGATCTAACAGCTCAAGAATGCAAAGCATCCTAAACCGAACTAAAGCATTATTGAGCTTCTTGCCGTGTTTCAGGATCTCCCATTCCCTCTTCCCAACGGCTATACTCTGCCTAATTCGGATTGGTTGCTCTGTTCTGATATTGTACCATTGTATGTCACCGGAACTCTCATTAGAGATGTCATTAAAACCTGATTCTTGGGTCTTATCTTCCACTCCCTGGCTCTTATCGGCGTGTGGTAGAGGGCCTACTCCAGAAGATAATGGTTTATTATTCGCAAGCGTTAGCTTTGGTCTCTTCGCTGGTGGTTGCGCGACATTATTTGTTGGAGGTGGTCTCTTCGCTGGCCCTATCCATCTCTCATCCACTTCCGCCTCCTTATTAGTGCATAACTTGATTTTCTCATCATCATTTTTATGACATTCTGACCAACAGGCGATGCCCTTTTTCTTACATTGGCATCTGTCTGTGCTACATCCGGAAGGACAGCTATAATAGCCCACATAATCCTATAAATGTTAGAAGCTATGTATAACATATTACACTATTGAAATCCCACATACTTTGAATAAATTATCGAATGACTCCTTTTTCTTCTCCTCCGGCCATGGATAATATGGATTGCCACTCATCCAAAGTATGCGAATCCGTACAAGTTTGCGGAAAGTCATTGCGGGGTCTTCGTTGGTGGTATCAGGATATCGAAATTCTTCGATCGATTGTTTAAGCACCTTAACCATAGCACGTGAGTCCCAATGGATGGTTCCACTTAGCATGGTCAAAGTGAGCGTGTACGGAGCGTGTACTATTCCAGGTGGTTGGACTAGCATATCCCCTTCCTGTAGCAAGATGGCAAATGGGTCGGATACTAATTCGCCGCGTTGGTTCCAGGAGATAGTTTCCGTTTTGTTCAAAGCCGGCCACGCAATCCATAGCTTCTTGCCGCACTCAACGCGGATAGTTGTCAAGACGCCGTGATAATCTTGATGGGGCATTGACCAGGCGCCTGCTTTACTCAAGATTGTAAATGCTGTAGAAGACGATAAGTCATTACAGCTATCCATTGCTTTTCCACTTTGATTGTTCTCCTTGACATCGTGCAGTATTGAATACGCTCTCAAGTCCATGCAATATGGGACTTGGGTTTTATACCCAACAAGGTCAAGTAGATTTACGGGTTCGATTTCAGGATCTCGGATCAATCCAATTGCTTTGGCCGGTGTTATCTTGCGTGGAAGAACTTGGTTCCCATTGCCTGGTAAACGGTCCCCAAAATAGTGGATGTCGACAGAAGGCTTCGTCAACAGATAATCTTAATACTCGTCAATTGTTATCAGTGGCCGTGAAATGGGGGCAGCGGGGATCAACAACGGCAGTCTAAGACACCCGGATTGAAGGATAGCTTTGGCATCAGCTTCGGAGCAAACCACGTATTGATGGCGGTTGAATGAAGCAGTACTCCAATCCATAGACATGTACGTAGAGTACGTTATGGCCGTGCCAGGACCGCACCGGTCAAGTATTTCCCGATATTCTGGGAGCTCTGCAGTTAATCTTGAGTCCGCCTTGCAAGAGAATTTATCGCAATGAATATCAATTTGACATTTTGCGTTATCGAGGGCTTTCTGACTCTCATCTTGGTGTTTTGCGCACCAGGACGTATCTTTTGTTGCGTCCGACAGCGGTACACGGGAGTTCGCGGTTCGAGGCTCAGCACCGGCAGTTCCTATTCCAGATGAAAGAGACTCCGGCTGAGTGGTGGTGTCGGTCGCTGACGTCATATGTTCTTGGGTTTTGTGGGTTTTCATGTGACGGGCCTTGTGGGCAACGTTTCGCGTTTGCTTGCCTTTGGGGCATTGGGGGCACTGGTATGTTGCGCGTGCATCATATCGAGCTTGTTGTTGGGGTTTGTTGTGGGTTTTCATGTGACGGGCCTTGTGGGCAACGTTTCGCGTTTGCTTGCCTTTGGGGCATTGGGGGCACTGGTATGTTGCGCGTGCATCATATCGAGCTTGTTGTTGGGGTTTGTTGTGGGTTTTCATGTGACGGGCCTTGTGGGCAACGTTTCGCGTTTGCTTGCCTTTGGGGCATTGGGGGCACTGGTATGTTGCGCGTGCATCATATCGAGCTTGTTGTTGGGGTTTGTTGTGGGTTTTCATGTGACGGGCCTTGTGGGCAACGTTTCGCGTTTGCTTGCCTTTGGGGCATTGGGAGCACTGGTATGTTGCGCGTGCATCATATCGAGCTTGTTGTTGGGGTTTGTTGTGGGTTTTCATGTGACGGGCCTTATGGGCAACGTTTCGCGTTTGCTTGCCTTTGGGGCATTGGGAGCACTGGTATGTTGCGCGTGCATCATATCTAGCTTTAGCATCCTGATTATTTGGCTTTGGTTCTTTAGTACGTAGGGGCATTGCGCTCTTAGCGTCGCGGAGTTAAATGGCGATGCGGGACGTCCGACAGTGATGTGGGAAAGCTGTAAGCGGCGGAAGAGAGGCGCAAGAAAGTGGTGAGCCGCAGGAGGAGAGTGGGGAGAGTGGAGATGGAGAGATGGAGAGATGGAGAGATGAGAGTGGAGAGTGGAGAGTGGAGAGTGGAGAGTGGAGAGTGGAGAGTGGAGAGTGGATATGGAGAGTGGAGAGTGGAGATGGAGAGTGGTGAGAGAATGGTGAGGAGAGTGGAGAGTGGCGTTGGAGAGTGGTGAGCGGAGAGCAGAGGCGCGGAGGATCGGGCTCCGTACTTAGTGGGGCGAGGCTGGCGAATCAGAGTTCAGAACACCTCACCGGAGCCAGTACTCGCAAGGGGGATCTACCCATCAGTCTCTATCGAGATGTTTGAAACTACACCCCAGGCTACACGCTTATGTACGAGGTGATACTGGATATGTTCGGTTTCGATGTCGTCTATAGCCATTCAAGCCGTTCAGGCAGAGCGCGAAGCCCCGTGTGGCTAATCTCCCTCCGAGTCCGCCTTGCTCGCCGTCCCTTTACGAAACGCTCCAAGAATTCCCGCTGCCTTCTTCGGCGCTTCTTCGTGCGCACCTGACTGCATGTCTTCACCCGCCAGCGCCCGTACCCTCGCGCTTGGTGCCACCGCCTGCTCAAACAGGAAGACTGCAAAGCATAGTGGTCAACACCCGTCAACTGCTCCATGAGGCAGCGGTTCCAATTTGAGGGGACCGTACATGTTTGCCCCAAAAACTGGGCTGAAAGGGGGGCCTGTAGATAGTTTATGACCTAGAAGAAATTCATTGGGTTGCGGTATTTCAAAGTACTTGGATTCTTCGTTCCCGGATTCTTCATCGCTCAAGTTCAGCAATCAAGCCGTTGCCACCTCCAAGCTCAGTGATTTCGTCGTTTGGTTCTGCCATGCGACGTAGGACCGTCGAGAATTATGAAAATTTATCTATTTAGCGACATTGCGTGCTGTGCGGCACAGCTCCTATCAGCCCGTGTCGATTTAAGGCGATTCTAATGTTCCTCGCCATGCACCCTTGTATGTTGGCGGGGATCAACCGACGAATCAGAGCTTGCGCGCTGGCACTCTCAACATTCTGTGCCAGCAGCTGAGCGCCGATTGGCCAGCCTCGCTCACTCGTGATACGCAACGCCCTCAGCATAGTCGCAACCTAGCCGTAGGAGGATGGTTGTTAGCCATGCATCGGGGAGAGCGATGAGCGCAGCGATGAATGTGGAGGCGGGTTAGTGGAAGCGTCGCGAAGGAGCTGGAGGAGAGATATGTTGCGATTGTAGAGATGTGACAAGAGGTTGTACGTCTCGCCATGGTCGCCCAGGTTCAGGTCCAGCGCGCACATTGAAGTGAGGATAGTGCCGGCCGAAGTCGAGGGTGGCCGTTTGGTGCAGGCTGCGGGGCGGGAGGATGGGGCGGCAGTGGTGGTCGTGAGAGATGCAGCTAACGTACGCCGATGGTCAAGTTCGCGACTATGCTCAGGGCATTGTGCATCACGAGCGAGGAGTCGAACAAGCTAACGGGTTCCTTTCCCTTCACATAGCAAGCTTGGCCAGAGGACAACACGCCGACGGTAAAGGGAGGTAGATGAATTTTTTCCTAAGTCCAAGGACACTCCTTGTCCGAACCGCAACCGCCAAGTTTGGATTTATGGAAGCCCCCCGACCTCACCCATCCTCCCCTACAAACGCAAAGACTCGCTTGACCGCCATGTAGTGGAATACCACAAGGCCCTAAAACCCCGACGCAATCGGGAATGCGATGCTCCGAATGCAACGTCAAGTGCAACCATGATAACAATGTCCCATGCAGTAAATGCGCATGGTAACGACGACTGCCACTCAAAGGAACGATGAGGGAAACCGGAAGAGCAACTGGCGCCCATTTTCCAGCCAATTTGGGTACCTGAGCGGGTGAATGCAGGACTCGTCGATACGCCCTTTAATTAGAGCTTAGGTAATTCGTTAACTAGATCTGGACGCATGTGTGAGAAAAGAGCTTGCTTAAATAGGTCTCCAACACATGCCTCTCACTTTTTCCTTAAATGGTCCGTACGTCACAGCTTGAGTAAATGGAAGCTCAAAGTCCGTAGCCACAACGGCCGTTCCAGTAATCACCCCTCCACCAATAGAGAGCCATCGTCGAGAGGTTCGGTAGTTGGCGTGCAAGAGCAACAACCTGGACAAAGGCGATCCCATTGTGCTCAAGCAGGTGATCGGAGATGGTTGGAGTGGATATGGTGGGAGGGTAGGTGATTGTGCGGGTGGGCCGAATGGAGGTGACTCGCTTGGATCGTTTGATGAAGAATTGAATAGTACTAATTTGAAAAGTTATGGCGCTCTACTACTGCAGTATGCGCGGTACGCTTACTCGGCAGCCTCCTAGTCTTCTTGGTAAACGTACATGCTACACAAATTGGAATGCATGCCAATTTGTATAGCGGTATGTGAGCTTGTACATGAGCTCGTACGTGAGCTTGTACATAAGGCTATACAAATTGGCGAGGCTACACGAATCGGAAAGGATGAATAACGGCTGCACAAATCGGCGAGTCTACACGTGCAGATGCACGTGAGCTCCGGACGAAGTTCCGAGCAGTTCCAGCCAATCAGAGGATCGGATGAAAGGGACGCACCTTAGTCACGCAAGAACATCTCTACCATTGCCGATATTTAGCCGCAGCGATCGGCAGACTTCGTTCCATGACGCGGTGACAGAAAACCTTTCACTTTTAGCGTCTCACGAACAATCACATCCCAACATGCAATCAAATCATCGCAAGGACAAGATTGACTTCCTCATTGTGGGAGGAGGATGTATTGGCACGTCAACAGTGGTTGCATTGAAAAGGAAATGGCTAGAGGCACGGATCGTCTGGTATGCCGGAAATCACGAACACACTGCTTCAAACGACTTTCTCAAGATCATCCGCGACGCGTACCCTGATCCCATAATGGTCGAATATGCAAACCGGGCGATGCAAAAATGGAAGACCGCCCCTTATTGCGACTACTTCCATCAGACATCGTGGATCCAGGCAATTGATCGGAATACAAAGAAGACAATGAACAAGGGGCAGAGCGACGAGAAGGTGACAAACCAGCAGATGATGAGTCTTGTGGGATCCACTGCGGAACCACTGCTCAGCACGACAGAAGAGCTGTTCCTCAATCGAAATGTGGGTTATGCAGATTCAGACCTAGCTGTGCAAGCGGTGTACGACAATCTTGCAAAGCTGGGCGTGGAGCTGCACAAAGAAAATGTCACGAGGCTTGTCATCGAGGTCGGGAAATGCGTAGGAGTTGAAGTAGGCGATTCAATTGTTCGAGCCGAAAAAACAATCGTGTCAGCAGGAGCGTGGACTCCTAGCCTACTGGAGAAGTCGGACGTTGCTGTCCCTCCAGGGTTCTTTCAGGTCAGCGCGGTTGGTGTGGCCGTACTTGAACTGAGTGAGGAGGAATTCAACGCTCTGAGATCTATGCCGATTCTCGTGACCGAAAATGGTAAAGTACTGCGCATCGAATTTTGCAATCACTAACACTTGATAAGGCGAAGTCATGTTGTCGAGGGCACACAAAGTTCTCAAAATGACAACCACGGAAACATTTCGGATTGGACATCCGGATGAATTGAGCGATGCAGTCGACATCACGCCTAACCGTGAAGTGTTGGAGAAAATGCTACCACAATTTGGGGGTAGAGAGCTGAAATCTTTTAGTTGTCCGTGAGTGCCCGGTAACTCTTGCTGTAGGATGGAGACTTACCATTTGACTAGTGACCTCCTTACCCTATACCAGTATCCAATCGTGGACGAAGTGAAAGGGATCCAGCAACTCACCCTTGCAACAGGAGGGTCGTATCATTCGTACAAGCTCATGACGATCATCGGAGAAATTGTTGTCCTACGCATTTGTGGGGAGGAAAGTAACGATGAGTTGGAGCGAACAGTCCAAGCTCGCTGCAAGTGGGAAAGACATGAAGGAATCCAACCAGTACATCCGAATATAGTTCCCAAGCGTGAGATGCCACTTAAGTAAGGCATATCGGCTTGCCATCTATAACTACATCAACCCGATTTGCAAGCAACTCGAACCAGTCTTTGTCCAATCGTCCTGAGGTCTTGAAGTTCCAAATCACTTGAAGGATCACGCATACGTCGAGACAGTTCTGATCTGCTGGTTAGAGTTGTCTGCCGGGTTTGGTTGTGCAACTGACCGATGGATTGCCGTCGCCAATCTGCTTAAGAATTTGATACATCTTCCTAAAAGTATCTGCTTTCGTGGTGCACGCACAGACCCAAACAAAACAGATCGCTGGATGGATCCCGCAGTACCAGTCTCCCTTTATTGGCAGGCGTTTAAGCTCTTGAGCAAGACATTCTGCATTATTTTCGATGGCCGGGTCGTTATGAGGAAGCCTATCCCTGTCAGACATGAAGCTTCACCACGTTGATTGTCTTACCTGTAAAGACGGCAGTAAGCATAAAGCCTTGCTGTAAGCCGGTGTGTTTCCATCGTCCTAGTCGCGATCTCATTTACCAATGGACGCTTTTGATCCCGTTTATCCAGATATTGTACCGTTTCGTCTATCTCTTTGATAATGTTATGGCTATAGGGTTGATCTTGCTGATTTTGTAAAAGTCTTGCTCGCGCATCCTTCCAGATACGATGCTGAATATGGAGCAACTTTCGTGTTACCCCCGTGATGCTATGCACTTTGTGAAGGTCGGAATATTCGCCTTCTGCCAACCAGTCCCAGTTGAGCTTCTGGAACTTATATTAATTATTTAGAGGCAGGAATGCCATGATCTATACCACGTGAGCAGTTATAACCACGTTCGGCCCTTAACCTGGGTAATGATGCAGCTGGTAGAAAAACTCTGTCCAATAATGGGAATGGCATTCTGGATAAACGATTGCGTGGTGGATAATCAGCATCTAAGTAGCGTTTCTGGCCTCCGCATCCTTCGTGTCACGGAGTTGTTGCTGTGCGTGTCTCAAGGAAAATTGCGCCACTTTCTGTAGCGCTGTCCTCTGCGGACTATTACTTGGGAAATACAACTTAAGATAGGACGCTGAAATGCAAGCCACTATGCACGAAATGGCTCTGTAATCTTTCGCTATTGGCACCAATTGAAGGTAGAGATTGTTGCTTAAGAATGAACGGCCTTTACAGAGAGCTTCGATGTCTTGGAGATGTTAGTATGGTCTGCGAAAGATATGTGATTGCCACTTATAAAATTGTTTGACCTGTGCTTCTGTAACGCCAGAGCATCCTGAATACTTGATTAGGCCGTCCTTGGATATGACCGCAGGTTTTTTGTTGAAGCTGATTGTGAATGACACAGTCGTGTTGTGCTGAACTTGATAACCTGGGAGAAGCCGCTGGCGCTTAGGATATGGCAATTGTCTGGTGTTGATTATCAATCGCTCGATTGCTTTGTCCGCTTCGTCTATAAAAGCGAAAAACTTCGCTGCTAGGTTATTATACTTTTTAGACTGCTCAATTTGCTCCGGTGTTAACCAGTCGAGAGCCTATGCCTTTAGAAGGCATTCAGCACTAGTTGAAATTAGTTTCTGATAAATAGCTGGGCGGTGTTACACTTACTCTTCCAAGGAAAGGGAGACAGCTAGGGTCAGTCCTGGACAGATGTCATTAATTCTGGACTCTATCTTTCCACGGTTGATATGTCTTTGGAATCTCTTCTGGTATACTTTCTGCGTCGATTTCAATGCCCCTTTAAAGTTAGGGTAGGCTTTAATCAGTAGGGCCGCTCGACAAAACTCTTCTCGATGTTCCGGGTTGCGTTTCTTCGCTTCAACTATTCGCTTCTTCAGCTTATAATAAAGCCAAATTCGATGGAACGAGTTTCTGTCCTTTCGATCTTGGCTGACGTCCGCGTCCGTAGAATTCAGAACGCTGTTGGACCATTGTGTGCCGCAAGAGAACTTGTAGTGGCCCAGGCAGGTTTCCGGCTTGTCGTACTACAATGCCCTGGTCTTGTCGAGTCTCCTTATTCTGGATTCCTAACTATCTGAAATTTTTTCGCGGAGTTTCTGGCGGCGAGTAACGTCCTCGAGCTCCCCAGTGTCCTTATTTTGCCCCTGCTCTTGGTTTTCACCTGCTGAGAATCGAAACGCGATTTTGTTTAAGCCGCCATCGCGACATTCTAAGTAGCTTTATTGAGAATTCTGGCAGAAAGACTTGCCCTTTTCGATTCCACCATCCGAACTGGCAGCAGGCTTGATGAGGAGGGCAATTGAACCGTCTTTCCTGTGTTTACAAGACACGCGGACCCCTGGGCTAGCAGAGACTATGCAGTTATCAGGTTGAGATATTCTTCGCGAAGATGCTCTCGGACGCTTATATCGTGCGGTGCAAACAAAGTTGACGACGGCGCGGCCGGCGGGAACGGAGGGCCCTGAGAAGCGGTTAGCGTGGAGACAGTCTGTCTCCACGCTAGCCGCTTCTTAAAACCCCCTGCTCGTGTCGCTTCCGGACGCATGTGCCAAGCAACTATGCCGGCTGACCTCCCTGTCACCTTATCAGAATCACCACCATCCAGCTCTACCGCACCTCTCGGAATCCGAGGTTGTTCCTGATCAGAATCACTTATGTGTACACGCGGAGGGATCTCTGGTGTTAAATCCCATCTGCCCCTCGGCGAAGAGACATGTCTTTGAAACGGAGATTCGCCCTCTTCTTTAACCCTTACTCTAGAGCCGCTCCTACATGTTTGCATTGCCTTCCACAATACATGGAGAACCGGCCTAGACTCGATGCACACCCTCGCCTAATGGTATGTTTTCAAAAGCACTGTATAAGTGCGTTATTGTTGACCTAAGCAGCGTCATGCAAACAGGGTGGAAGTAAGGATATCAGATAATACGATTCTTACGCAAATCATCGATGGTCACGAAGAAGCCTTGGTGCTGCCTCCAGCGGCGATAGCGGATTTGGGCGTCGCAGCTTTCGGCACTCTCAACAAATACCAGCACGAACGAGGTGAAGAGATTGGCAAAACTTCGATTTAGATTCAGAGCTTCTCTGCTACACGTAATGTTGACGCTCCTGCCAATCACGATATCTGGGTCGATACGGAGATTATAGATGTATCCTTCGCATTTGGCCGCTGCAGGAAGGAATGCGCAGCCTATGCCACCAATACAAGCGCACGGAGCCTCAGCACCACCAGTTGTTTAAGGTGCGTTGGAGCGTCTGGTATGCCACAATCTTATCCCGTTACCCTCTAAGTCAGGAATTAACCCAGTCTGTTAACTATCCTTGATTATTTGTATTTTTCACGGGTCCAGCCTTACTACCCTGCCTTTTTATCGAAGGTGGGATGAGACATGCTAATGGATGCACCTCCGTGATGGCTGCATCCGAGGCAACAAAACATATAATTGAACTCCTCTCCTTACGCCCTGCATACACTGATTGTCTACCGGTCAGCACCCTGCCCTGCATTAAATTAAGCTTGCGCGCCCTCTACTGAGCCACGATGGAGGTTGGATCCTGCAACCCCAGCCCTCAACCTACTGAGTGTACGCCCCGTCCCAAAATCGTTATCCGCATCGCGCCTACCTATTCAAAACATCTCTCGGACCAGCGACACTGATAGTGCTTGACAGCCACTTGCCCGCACATCATCCAATACGTTCCGAACCCGCACGGCGTTCACTATCCGTTTTCGCCCACAAGAGCTGAAGAGCCAGTGCGCTCTGCCTCACTGTACGACCAACTAAGTGTTCCGTACCTACAGCCTGTTGCTCCTCTGAATGGTTATTATACACCGTCCCCGTATGCTCCGGCCGATTTTGCTCAGACTTTACGCTTATCATCTCGTCCTTCCTGCTCCCAGCTAAGCGAGGCGGATTATACCAGTGCCTATGAGCACCCGAAATGGAAAAAGAGGCGAAAGGGGCATAATCGAGTCCTTTAAGTGAGGTTACAAGAAATTAGTGAACTGTGGCAGAAGTGCTAACTTGACTGTGCAGGCTTGTGATTACTGTCGGTCCAAAAAAGCGAAATGCAGCGGCGAGCAGCCTTCTTGTAGGTTTTGCATGAGGAACGGCCTACCATGCAAATACGCCGATGTGACAAGGTATCTCCAGGAACTACCACGCTACAGACTATGACTTACTCGTTCAGGAAAAAAACAGCTCCCGAAATTGGAAGTCTTTAGAGCATGGTAGAAGCTTCCAAGAGGGAGGTCACCGAACTCAAGAACACCCTAAAAGATCGCGATGGCGAAGTTGCCGAACTTAGGATCAGCATGAGAAATCATGAGAGCGAAGTGGACAATCTCAAGAGACAGGTTCAGATTTTGGGAGGGTTTGCGAACGACGTCAACCGGTGTTTCTTGCGTTTTGGACAAAAGGCAACCTCTGCACCACTTCAGACTTTACCCTCCGAAAATCTATAGTTGGATGAGATGTATAGATATTGATTGAATCCATGGGCCTGATATGATGGTCGAGTTTGTAAATATTCAATCAAGTTTTGGAGCCAGTTTGCGTCGGCTGGTTAGAAGCGAGTTTAAAAGGGGCGACTGAGCGGTGGGCTTCACCGGAGCTCTCCTCTTTTCGATTGGGGAACTTGAATGAACAGATTCTGAGGTGGGGTGAGTCTTGATCCAATTCGCCAGACACTTAGATAATGCAATGCAGCCTGAATTCGGATCGTGATACCAATATTCTCATGGTGCGGGGGTGACTGCAACAGCTTTGACGTGGCGTACATGTGTGCCGCTTATGTCCATGACTCTTACAGGCCGCGCATCTCAGATGCCATACACCTCAGTGGCCATGCACCATGCACCTCAGTGGCTATGCACCTCAGAGCGAGTAAAAAGGGCCATTTCTTCTCTTCCCGCACCCGTCCCCTCCCCTGGGCTCCTGCGTCCCATTTCTTCCCCCCTCTTCCAGGAGAAGACATTATTTGACGATGGATCTGGGCAGGCAGTCAGGCACAACCAGGGAAAGGCTCAGTCCATTCCTATCGTGGATATGTCGTCAGACCAAGACTGCCCTCGATGCGCTAAGAACGGAGATTGAACATTCGGTGAGGATGCCGGCAAGGCTATCCAACGGTGAGATGATCCCGATGTCTGGAATGACTGGTAGCAATCAACAGTTTGGTATGAACGTGTCTGGGAAAACAAGAAGAGCCCTAGCGGGCGCCACAGGGCCAGAGAACCGGGTGAGCTGACAGAGACCGATATTAGAGGAAAATGGGGCGTAGACAGAGTGACAATCGGTAATTTGGGTCGCCACGATAGTTACGCCCTGCATTAGTCTAGAAGCACGTAGGATCTGTTGTTATGGAGTCCGGTTGCACGTATTAGGGGCTGAACCGGACCCACAGCCGACGAGCATGCTTTATGGTGAGTGAAGTGGCTGTTCATCATTGGCTCTTATCTGTTTGCCTTGTTGTGCTTAAGCGGGATCGCAGATGGGGGATGATTCTTTGGCCTCTCGGAACAGTTTACAGTTTCACCGCTGCAGGCAACGAATTCGGCTCTGCAGTCGGCCAGCGCTAGGCTGTGCACGACGTCGCTTATGAGTAGTTTAGGACACTGTCAGTGTTTAAAAAGAGGACCTGTGGGACGTTGTTCGAACCACCGACTATCTTGCTCGGCTTTCCCTGTTTGCACTCCCCACGCATTTACTTATTATCGAGGACTCATCGATATGCCTGTCGGACTAGACCCTTGGCTTTATATTTGCCGGGGCTCCTGTGCCCTTGCCCTCCTTATTGCTGACTTCGGTCTAGCCACTTTATTCTCTGGCTCCCGCACTACGCCTACCTCTTTCCATCGCCAGCCGTGCCTCCTTGGGCTTCTCTCCCTCCTGGTCTTGCTCTATCTCGGCGATTTTGCTAGTCTTGTAGTCGAGTTGCTGAGCCGAGGGGAGCTCCCGGACACTACCGCCTCCTATTCTGAGACGATCCTCGCCCTTACTAATGCCATCTATCTGGAATCCTTCACAGCATAAGGGAAACCCCCTCTTCGGTACACTATTGGTATATTCTGGCTTCTTCTTTGTACCTTGGAGTTCCTCGCCGTCATCCGTCTTGGCCTACCGTCCTCTCAACCCTCGCCGTATGACCTCCTCGGCATCTCGCTCTCCGCCGCGAAGGCGCTGACGTACACTACAATACTCTTATCTCGAGTCTCCTATACTGGATACCGGACCCTGCCTGACTCTGATCCTGAAGATTGCAATTCTGCTTCCACCGACAAGTCCCGGTCCCGCGCCAACGAAGATGACTCGACTCGTAGGCCTGCTGGCATCGATGCCCTGGGGATTCAGATGGAGGCAAAAGAGGAAGTCAAACTGCTTGGCGGATGCTGGCCCTTTGTGAAAAGGTTTCAGATCTTCCTCAAATACACATGGCCGTTCGGTCAACACGTCCTCCAGCTACGATTCTTCTTGATATTTATCATCCTCATGGTACAAAGAGCCATGAATGTCTACGAGCTATTCCTGTCAGCGGTGCTTATCGACGCTCTTGCCTCGGGCGCCGATCCTTGGCGCCTATTGTTGACTCTGGTCTTCTTCTAGGTGGTTAATTCCCCCCTATGTCTCGGCACCATTCGTAGCCTGTTATGGATTGACGTCTATCTCTATCGCACTAAAACGCTAAAAATCGAGGCTCACTCCCATATAATGACACAGGATGCCTACTTCCACCAGGTGACCCACCCTACCGATTCGATCAAGGCCGTCGACTACGCAAGCAGTGTTGACAGTATACTCGACACCCTCATCTTTTCCTTCCTACCGAATCTGGCAACCCTGGTCTTCGTCACAGGTGTCCTGTTCACCCGTTTCGGGTTACTTATGACAGTTATTATAATGTATATAACCACCATTTACTGTATCCTCGAGAAGAGTTCCCTGAGAGTGCTCACGGGAGAACGCGATAAGTACATCACCGTTAGAAACAACCAGGAGCGTCGACGTCAGGATGGCGTGCGTGGATGGAGTACTGTGTACAGTCACAACCGAGTTAAATATGAAATAAATCGCTACGAGTCTGAAGTGGAATCCTGGATGCTGCAATGGCGGAGATATAGTATATTTAGCTCCGGTTTCGGGTTTCTTCAGACTCTTATACTCTATTCTGGGCGTCTAGCTGGCTATGCGCTTGTTATATATAAGATCCGCTCTGGACAGATCTTACTTGGTGATTTAGTTGCCTTTTTAGGCCTTTGGGGTCTCCTTTTGGGCCCTGTCGACTACTTTACTTCTTTTGTTAATGATATGCTTGAAGATCTCCTTAATGCCGCTCGCTTGAGAAGAATTATGGAAAGGGAATCGAGCACTGAGGAAGGAGAAAATGACCTGGAGTACATTAAAGGCGAAGTGGAGTTTCGGAATATCTCCTTTTCTTATCCAGGGTCAAGCAGCCAAGTCATCCATAACATGAACATCACGATTGAAGGGGGATCTAAAGTTGCTTTCGTTGGGCCGAGCGGTGTGGGGAAGTCTACCGCTTTTAAGCTCTTGATGGGGATGCTCGAGCCGACCGAGGGTACGATTCTCATCGATGGTCAGGACATTAAGACGCTCAAGACCGACTCGTGAGTGGATGGGCATCTCATAACCAAAGACATGTGTGCTAACTGCTGCCGACGTGCATAGGCTGCACGAAGTTATCGGGATGATGCCTCAGAATTCGTACCTCTTCAATACCACCGTAATGGAGAATATCACGTTCGCGAGACAGAATGCAACATATGAAGAATGCTACGATGCCTGTTGCAGGGCAGGCATTGAAAAGACAATCAAGGGTCGTGCTGGCCAGTATGGCGCGACGACGGGAGAAAACGGCGCGTGAGTCGCATTGACTCCTGCGAAGCAGGCTTGGACTCCATGTTTGGCTGCTGACCGCACCAACACAGGAACTTCTCAGGCGGTGAGCGGCAGCGTCTCGTGCTCGCTCGTATATTCATTCAAAAGCCCAAGATCGTGCTCATCGACGAAGGGACCAGTGCGCTCGATGCTGAGACCGAGGCCCTTATCAAGCACAGTATTGACCAAGAGTTTGCCGGACGGACAGTGATAATTGTTGCGTGAGTTTCTTTCTTTCCCTGGCAGACTTCGTCGTGTTGACCTCCCCCCAGGCATCGACTCTCTTCTATCAGGCGTGTCGATAAGATCTTTGTTTTAGGAACATGTGGCAAGATCGTGGAAGAGGGTAATCACGATGAGCTTGTGGCAAAGGGCTGCGAGTATGCCAAGTATTGGAAGATGCACTTAGGCGAGGAGCTGCCTGTCGATGAGCCGTCTGTCGGTGAGCCGCTAATCGACGTGTCATCTTGAGTCCAGGGCGGAGGGAAGCTAGATTGGAGGCAGAGGCGGGAAAGGGGTCCCAAGTCTCGTCAAACTAGCCTTCTCAATCTTCAGCGTTTAGACTAGAGTGTAATGGAGCAAGGACGAATGACCGCGGTGAAGACCATCCAGATCCAGATCTAGTCGGAAAAGCATGAAGGACAGTAGTCGATCTACGGCCGAGTGTGAAGGGGTGAAGGTTTTGGCCATAGATTTGACAGACACGCCAGGAGCGAATCGAACTTCGCCTCCGAAACAGCCGTTGAGCCGTAATTGACCAAGAACTGGATTGACTGGTGTGAATGGAAATTGAGGTAGCTATATCGAATCTTGAGCAGCATAGAAGGCGGCAGCAGCAGCAGCTTCTCTTCCACCACATCGAATCATCTTGTAAATGTTCTTTCCATTCCCAGACAGGCTGTTCTTGCCAGAGTAATACTCATTCGCCTGGAATGTCGATAGGACGAGGGTGTATACCAGTGAGGTTTTCTCGAGCGCCTCACGCTTCCCAACGGTACATTGATTGCACTTTCCAGCAAAGTCTCCGTGACCGGCCATGCAGTCAAATACATCATCATCGGTGGGAGTGTTCAAGGCTGCGGAGACCCATATCTGAGGGACATCAAGAGACAACGGTCGAGGATTGTCGAGAGCCTTCAGCTCATCTGGTGGACATCGTAGACATCCAACAGCATCAAGAACAGTCATCCGGTCCAGCTTAACTGGTTCTGGTCTCTCATACCATTGCTCTGGCCCACCAAACTTAAGAAGCCACATAAAGTCCGCCAGGTCGGCCGAAGATGCACCATGAGATGGAACATAGATATTGCGCTTGAATATAGGTATCCTCACAATCCTATCAGCATCCGGATCCGTTTCCCCAGAGCATCGCGGGGGTATAAGATCGCTGTGGCTACTGACACGCTCGGCCATGTGCTTCGAGACTGGCGAACTGTCTGATCGGTAAGAATCGATGCTGGAACTTCGGCTAAGGGTGCGTCCCCTGCCCTGGTTTATGACGACCATTCCTGGAGGTGGGGGCGGGGGCGGGGGTGGTACGCTGAAATCGAGATGTTGTTTCTTCGACTGCTTTGGCAAGTATGGCATATCCGATGATCCTGTTTGCATCTGCCATGGAAGCGGTTGTTGTGATATAGGGGGTGGAGGAGGCGGCGGCGGCGGCGGCGGCATCAAAAAGTAAGAAGATGGTGGTGGTGGAGGAGGGGGAGGGGGGGGAGGAGGAGGTGGAGACGGTGCAGCGACAGAGATTTTTTGTGGACATTTCCTATAAGCTACTTCGTCAGAGTACTCGTCAGAGAACTCGTCAAAGACTAACATTGTTGGAGGGACGGGTAGTAAGAACAAAGAAACAGACAAGAGACGCGAAGGGGACTGCGACGATAGATGTTGAAAGGCTATCAGAGGGGTTCGTCACCCTATATATATCCGTCTACCCATGCATGTAAGCATCCAAACTTAGAGGTGGTGAAGGAGCCTGGCAGTTTGGCAGATCGACGGGTTGATGGTCAGGTTGGCACGTACGACATCTTGCCTAGCACTCCATCTCGTGCTGTGCAGAAGGACGCAAATGTCGAACTGCAGGAAGGCAAAACGAGCTAAAGGAGCCCGCATATGCTTGATATAACGCAGGGCTCCCAAACAAGCTGAGATTCCAATTGAAATCAGTATCAAAACGAAGCATGAGTTCACGTAACCGATTGAGCCATTTTGGCGGGGAAGAATCCATGGCCTGATTGGCGGCCTGCCTGAGACGATAAGACTCTATCCCTCTTTCGCAAACGAGTGGTGGTTCGCAAAAAGGGAACAGCACAAAACTACTGCTTGAAGAGAATCGTGGAGGTGCATAGGCGATTTACAAGGATCGTTAGCTTGACTGCAAGCCATGCCAAGGCTTGCCGACGCCTGCAGACTGTCGGCCAGCTAGACATGTAGACTGTCGGCCAGTGGTGATTCTGATAAGGTGACAGAAAGGTCAGCCGGCATAGTTGCTTGGCACATGCGTCCGGAAGCGACACAAGCAGGGGGTTTTGAGAAGCGGCTAGCGTGGAGACAGTCTGTCTCCACGCTAACCGCTTTTCAGGGCCCTCCGTTCCCGCCGGCCGCGCCGTCGTCCTGACCGCACTACCCGCGCCGCTTGCGCGTCACTTATTGATATTCGGAACGCGAAAAGAGAGCAAGGATGAGGTGCGGGAAGTGTAGGTGCGGGGATTCATGGCGATGCCGTGCACACGCGTCTCTGGGGTTGATGTAGCCGACGATCTTTCAAGTCCGGGATGCGTAAATCTGGTGCCGCCAGCAGAAGGCTGGCAGATCCAACCATGGTCACAGTGCGACCGCGATGTGGCCCGCAATATCATCTCCACTCGGGACGAGGATGCGCAGGCCTGTTGACAGATACCGACAAGACGCACTGGGATGGCTGGAACAACAGCCGTGCACGGGCGGGCTTTGGGATACAAGGGGGGCTCATGTACGGGTTGCCCCGCCCCCTGGTCAACGCGTGCCAAGTGGTGGCATTAACCGGGTGGGGTGCAACCCGTACATGAGTCCCCCTTGTACAAGGGGGTAACATGAGCGGGCCAGCAGCGCTCCCTGCTAGCGCTGGGGCTGCTTTAGCCGTATGAAGCATAGCTGTTCGTATTACAAATATGTAGAATCAACCAGAATAGCTAGATCATCATATAAAACAACAAGAGATCCTTGTATCTTGTATCCTAAAAATGCCGAATCTTGTACGCCGGAACCGTGGCCACCATCCCCCTCCTCTGCTTTGTTATCCCGTCCTTCGACAGCCAGGAACACGGCTCTCTGTTCGCGAGCGTGATATTGCGTATACCCTTAAGCACTATGCTGGTTGGACTGATGAGAAGATTAGCAGCTCTCTTGGTGTCTCTCGCACTGCACTATCTGCCTCTCTCCAAAAGGATACTTGGACTCCTCAAAAGCAGAGGGGAAGGAAGCCAAATATCAATACCCCATCACGAAAGCGCCTTATTGCACGAGCAAAACAAGATCGTTGGCATCGACAGAAATCCTTTGAGGAGATTGCATTTCTTGAAGGAATCTCTGCCTGCAAGCGATCCTTATACAAGGCCTTTGAAAAGGAGGGCTATTTCCGGCGTGTTGCAACAGAGAAGCCACTTATTACGCCTGAACAGCGAGAGGCCCGTCTCAAATGGGCCTATTCTCATCTAGAATAGACTCCTGAGATGTGGGCAGCAGTAATTTGGACAGATGAGGCGTCTATTCGAACTGGAGGAGGCCAAATCTTTGTTACTTGATGCGCAGAGGAGAAATATGATGTTGACTGCTGTGTCCCTAAATTCAGGGGGTATTCAAGCTGGATGATCCATGGCAGCATCTCCCATGGGAATAAGGGGCCTCTTGTTATTTTTGAAAAGGATTGGTCGATTGAGTTAGGGTATAAAAGGAAGACAATAAATGGCGATGTCTACCGGACATATATATGCCCCAATATCAAGAAATTCGCATGGGAATTATGGCAAACACTGCATTACCAGCCTATTCTTGTAGAGGATAATGCCTCTATTCACTCAGCCAAAGCAACCCGCATGGCCTGGGAGCAAAATGGCATGCTTGTAATGGAATGGCCGGCGAATTCCCCTGATTTTAATCCAATTGAGAATGTCTGGAGGCTATTGAAGGGGAGAATACAACGCCGGTTCCCTACAACAAAGGAGGAAGTGAGGCAGTATGCTGAGGAGGAATGGGAGAAGCTCGAGCCCGAAGAATTCGAGAAGTATACAGGCAACATGAGGGAGCGCTGCCTTGCTGTAATTGCTGCAGATGGAGGTCCAACAAAGTATTAGTTACTGAATAAGCACAGGTTATTACGTGGCAAATGGAGGTGGCAATAAGCGCTAGCAGGGAGCGCTGCTGGCCCGCTCATGTTACCCCCTTGTAGAAGGCGATTATCGGGGTACCGATGACGCTCGGACAGGTGGTCCCCAATGCCAACCTCGCTCCCACGATTCCCCACCGCAGCAATTATTGGCCTGGCAGGGCGGGCGGCTCGCCAATGTCAACACAGGGGGTCGCCCACTGTGCCGGTACGCGCTATCGATGGCGCCTGCAGTAGTATCAGCCTTATGAGACTTAGACCTGCTCGGACATGAAGGTCTGTAAGCCTTTAGTTGCTTAATCCCTGCGGTGCCTGGCGGAGGCATTTCAGAAGCTCACTGAAATGTTATAATAGATCTTTGCCAGCTTGGATATATCGTGAGCTCGCTCCTTCTGCATATTGGCCTTCCTTGGGAATTGTATTATCGGACTTTCCTGTGTGTCTCTCTTGTTTTGTGGATTATAGCTAACTATTGTAATAGGAACTACCATTTAAGCCGAAAAACTCCAGCTACTGGAATTGCCTATGTTTATTTTGAGCCCAAAAAGGGGGGGTGGAGCAGACAAGAAATTCAAGTGTAATTATGAAGGCTGTGAACATGAGTATTTAAGTAGGAGTCACTTGCGTCGACATGAAAAAAACCGTAAGTCCTGCTTTATGCTCCTGCAGCCTATATTCCTAATTCTTCCAGACAACCCACCTTAGCTCTATTGCGACTTTCCAGAATGCCAAAAATCTTTCGTACGAAAAGACCTCTACGCACGACACAAGCAGCGCCATAACATAAGTCTAAAGACGCAGCCAGACACCGCACTGACTACGACTGATAAAAATGTCCTTAAATATCTCAGGACTGCCAGCCCCGCATTTGTATCCCCTTCCTTGGATATCCAACCATCTTTATTCCCAGAGCCCAAGGAAACAGTGTTATTCTGGGATATCAACTTCAATCCTTAAGAGATAGACATGGATCTATATAACGCGCCGAAACCGTCCGACATGCCAGGGGCGGAGCGTACGCCCTCAAAAGCTGGCACCCGCAAAGTCACCGCCCTCACCGCTGCCCAGCTTGAACGCAAACGCGCCAGTGACAGAGAAGCCCAGCGCGCCATTCGCCAGCGGACCAACGACCATATCGAGTCCCTAGAGCGCCGGATTGCAGAGCTTTCGTCAACCCATGAAGCCGACAGCGCATTAGTGCTCACTGAGCTCACGCGGAGAAACAAGGAGCTGGAGAACGAGAAAGCCATGCTGCAGACGCGGCTAAGCGATGCTCTCGTCTCGTTAAAATGTGCAGATTCCACTGGCGGTGCTGAGAACAACATGCATTTAGCAGGAAACCCCAACGAAGTCTCCAGACCTGCTGTCCAATGGAACAACCATCCGCATCCTCATCAGTATCCTGGCAACGTTCTTGACATGCATATCCAACTCTACCCTGTCGAATCTGGTCACATGCCGTGCAATTCTATGCTAGATACAACCAGGCGACCAATATATCCACACATGCAGCCGATACCGGGCTATAGCACTCCTACGTTGAATTGCTCACCGTAAGGCCAGGGCTATGGAGGTCACCAGGAGCACATACCAAATACTAGTCATCCTAGTAAGCTAATAATGGGTGGGCATATTACGTACGACATAGATCCTAAGATTAAACAGTGAGCACGTATTAGCTAGGTAGCAATGTTTGCCGGAAGTAAGTCTAATCTCTGCACCTACAAAGTGATGTCCGGCGCAGCCTTTACCTAACACCACTGTACAAGGGGCGCCGCCAGTGTCTCAAGCGTACGCCAAGAGTTCTCACGATTCTCCCGTTCTCACGATTCTCCCGCTGTCACGATCCACCCGTTCGCACGATTCTCTTACTTTCACGACCCCTTGCCCACAACCGCCGTACTCATCCTGCCCGCCAGCGCAAACGCCGCCGCATTCTGGGTGAAATCCAGCACAATTAGAAGAGGGTCGAGATGGATGGCAACAACAACCGAGGAAGGGGCGCAAGGCGAAAGGCGGCGCCCAAGGCTCACGGCGTTGAAGGCACCCGCCGCTCCACCCGCCTCGCTGACCTGCCTATGCGCCCAGCAATAACACCTGCAAGGGGCCAGACCGTGTATCTGGAGTAGTTTGAACGCGAGGTTCTTGGCGTCTACTAAAGGAAGGCTGCGGCGGCTGTTGGGTGAAATTAATAAATGAAATACAATTCTTTCTACTTTGGCTTAATGTGTCCCGGCTCCAACGTGACGGTTAGAACCTATTAATTAAGGGCAGACGGCAAAGCGTCTCCTTCGGGCGTTAATGTTATTAAAACAGCCAGATCACGACACTCCGGACATTATACGTATCCTACCTCCGCCTCTATAATTAATTTCTTCTATGCCAGCAAGCGTTTATCCTACGTTCCTAACAGAAATGCTCTTATTTTTCCTAACAGCGGTGCTGTCGGCTATGCCTTAGTGCAAGAGGCGTTTGAATATTTATTTTCCTGTAATGCTGTGAAGTTGGATTAAGGAAGTGGAAGAGATAAGAGGGCGATAGGGTCTATTTACGTCTCTAGCTGGCGAAGGACTAAAGCGTTGCCACAGTAAAATAAAGATAACCGAAATAGGTAACTGAAGAAAGCTTTATATTACAGGGACGATATTATTTACTACAGACACACACCGTTAGCAACACGTCCCATCTCTGCAAGCTTCCGCCTTCCCAGCAACCCATATACTAAGCATCTGAATCTCACTCCGCCTATCCCCCATCGCGCTATCCACGCCATTGCCCACGCCCTCGTCCCCCGCCCGGACCCTCCCAATCGCCCAATCAAAACTAATCAGTATAATTAGACCACCCGGATCATCGTCGCCATACAAACGCTCAGGCCGCAGCATATACACCAGACTACGCTCATCCACCACCCCCACGAGCGTGTTGCCGTACGCCGACCCCGCAGGAAACGGCGGGTTAAGAATATCATGCAGCCTCGCAGCACACGGACAGGCGTTCGCAGGCGCCGGCCACATTGTTATCGGGGCGTAGCGAAAGCAGTCACCGAGGGCGGGACGCCGCGAGCCGATCCGCAGCCGGAGACAGGGTGCTGGGCTGCTGGGGTTGTTGCAGCATTTATCGTCTTCGACGAAGTCAACGAAGGAGCTGCAGAAGAGGTTATAGGCGCGGAGTTTGGTGCGGGCGAGCATAATAGAGGGCGCGGGGTCGTTGTTATGCCTGTATTCGGGATGGGTGAAGCGCTTGTAGCAAGGTTAAGAAGGCGCCCAGTGCGCGTTGTTTACCAACGAACTAGTGGATAATATTATAAATTGGACGAATTTGTACGCAGAACACAACCAGCCGGAGGACAAGAAGCACCCACGCCCGTGGCGGCCTACAACAAGAGAGGAACTCTATGCGTATTTCGGCGTAGTGTTGCATACAGGCCTGGTTGTAGAGCCACGCATAGAGGACTATTAGGGCAGCCTAGAAACTCACGGCGTTGAACATATTATTAAGAAATACATCAGCAAAACCCGGTATCAGCAGCTGGACCGTTTTATTCGGTTCTCACCTCCATATGATGCCTACAAGGATACATTTGGCCGCGTTGACGCCCTCTCTGAGCACCTGCGATTGCTCTGCCATAAATACTATAGTCCAGGCGCTCACCTGGCTGTTGATAAGACTATTGAGCGCTTTATAGGGCGCGCACTAGAGATTGTAAACATACCGTCAAAGCCCACGCCTGAGGGCTTCAAAATCTGGGTGCTAGCTAATCAGGGCTACGTGCTAGATTGGATGTGGCATGCGAAGGGAGATAATAAGGGCCCGATGGACCTTAACACGGTATTTATAAAGGAGGAGGGCTTTACAAAGACACAGGCTGTCGTGCTGGACCTGCTTACGCAGCGAGACTCCGAGACAGACGCTGTCCTATACCCGCCCGGCAAGTATGTAGTTTGGCTTAATAATCTCTTCTGCAGCGTGAAGCTATTCAAACAGCTTTAAGGCCTAGGAATTAGGGCGGCCGGCACTATACGAACTACAAAGACACAACAGGAGGAAGAAGGAGAGGAAGAGGGCAATATTATGGAAGATAAGAAGGGCAAGACGGCATATAAAAAGAAGGTGTCTGCAGAGAAATTCTCACCATTGCTTACTAACCTTAAACTTGTACATACGGCCCAAATTCCATAGGGTATACTCTATAGAAAGCTCTTAAAAGGTTGTATAGTAATGGAGTTTGCTTAGGCAGATGCACAGGTGGTTTTATTTATATCTACGGTCTATAATAGTAAGCTATCCTTATATTCTGTTCTTACCACTATGCCGCAGAGCCGCTTACGTTATACATCACCAAGGTTAATCCTATGTACTCCGGCGCCGCAGACGGCCTGCGAAGACCTCTACCAACGCGGCACAGAAGCGTAAGCCCTTCGGCAACAATATAGTTAAAGAAATGGATATTCCGGAGTTTATAGATTAGTACAACCTCTATATGTGTGGCGTTGACGTAGCCGACCAGCTTCGAAGCTATTATACAATCTAGAGGATATATTTAAAGACCTGGAAACCGCTGTTCCACTTCCTCTTTAATACTATAGTGGGCAACTGCTATAAACTCTCCTCTTATAATAGCGCCGTAGGCAACAGCCGCGCTAATAGCCACGCTGCCTTTCGCCGAGCCTTCCGCAAAGCCCTTTTTAAGGCCTCCACACGTCTACCAAGACAACACTATACTAAGCAGGCAATTAGGAAAGGAATAGAGGACGTTACGTGGCAGCCTATAGCAGAACACAACCTTACCAAGCTATAGCAGAAGCCTAAGAACTGCTTGGTGTGTATTAAGGCTGGAAAGAAGTCTATAAAGCCTTATAAGGGCGCACGGAGGCCGCTGGCAGACCTTTTAATTAATACAGTACGTAAAAATATACAGAGTAAGGATTAGAAGCGTCTAAAGAGGGCACTAAAAACCCTCTACAGCTGTTCTACGTGCCTTATTCCGTTCTGTAGTATAAGCGAGTGTTAGGTATTATACTATAAGAAGCTTAACTCTAGAAAGTAGGCTGTTAGGTAGCTAGATAGCTATAAAATCTATAATTTAAATAAACTTACGTCTAGTTGAAATATAGGCTTCTAATTAGTTAGATCCTTATTAATAACGTTGGACGCAAGCCGATATTTAAAGGGATAAGAGCAGTAGCCTCTATAAAACTCTAATAAGGCCTTAGAGTTTAATCTTATTTAGCATATAATTCTCCGTTAATATCACGCAATAGGTTAACCTAGAGGGTACGCCGACGATTAAGGGAGGTAAGCCGTGGCAATAATAGATAGAATTTTCTCCTAAGTCTAAGAATACTCCTTACCTAAACCGCAACCGCTAAGTTAAGATAGAAGCCCCCGACCTTACCTATCCTCCCCTACAAACGCAAAGACTCGCTTAACCGCTATATAGTAAAATACTATAAGGCCCTAAAACTACAACTACTAGTTAAAGGAATAATAAGAGAAATAGGAAGAGCAACTAGCGCCTATTTCCCAGCTAATTTAGGTACCTAAGCGGGTGAATATAGGACTTATTAATACGCCCTTTAATTAGAGCTTAGGTAATTTATTAACCAGATCTAGACGCACGTGTAAGAAAAGAGCTTGCCTAGATAGATCTCTAATATATACCGCCCACTTTTTCCTTAAAGTATCCGTACGTCCTAGCTTAAATAAATAGAAGCTTAAAGTCCGTAGCCATAACGGCTGTTCTAGTAGTTATTCCTCCACCTTCGGCCTAATAGAAAGCTATTATTAGGAGGTCCGGTAGTTGGCCTGCAGGAGTAAAACCTGGACAAAGGCAATCCTATTATGCTTAAGCAGGCGATTGGAGATAGTTAGAGCGGATATAGTTGGATTATAGGTAATTAGAGTCTTTTTAGGTTAAATAGAGGTAACTAGTATAGATTATTTAAGAAAGAATTAAATAGTACAAATTTGAAAAGTTATAGTGCTTTTATCGCAGTTTTCTAATATATTATCCCGCCTGAAGATTTTATATTAAATGCTGTTTATAGCAGTCTTGCAGATAAGTAGACCTATTCTGTTCTCTAGATTAGTTTTATTAAAAGATAATAGAATAGAGAGCACTAAAGAATAGAATAGACTTTATATAGAATTAAGCGAATATTCTACCTATATCCCGATTAGCTCCCCGTCTAGAGGCTGCTAAACGCCACGGAAGGTATATAGGCTAGAGTATACTGCGCGTGAACCGTTAAATAACGTGTTAGAATCGGGGTTATTAAATAGTATAAAGAGGAGAGGGCGGTATAAAAATACCTGCGGAGAGTAAAGCAGTATAACTTATATAGCTACTTGCCTTTAATGTGCTCGGAGCACTACGCAATAGGAGAGGAAACGAAAGAGTTGAAATCTTGCTAGTAATTTGGCAAGATCAGCTTTCTTTATATATAATGCGACCACTAAAGCATAATTTAATGCCCTTTCAAATAATTTAACTAGTTGCTAATCTACTTAGTGGATTAATTTAGTAAAAGCATTGGAAAACTAAATAGTTTAAGTATTATTAAATAAATTAATTCCAATGCTGCGAAGCCTTTAATCCCACTCTTTCGCAGTTAGAGCATCTTAGATAAATAAATCCGCGGCAATTTTCCAGTTCGGTTTCTTGCTCTTTTCGGGCTGGCTTTAATTAGGGCGTTTTCTTTTCGTCCGTCTGAGATCGGCTTCTAAGAAAGGGAAATTCTTAACTCTGTGTTTTTGTATAGAGAAGCCGTAAGCTAATTACACTGTCTTTTTAAGGTATCTAAGGCTTTATTAATAGCAGAGCGTGTTATATATTATTAGTAATAGCAATTATAAAGTTTAATAATGTCTCTCTGCAGTTAGACAAGCTTTTTTAGCCTTTTAACTCCAGCTATAACAAATATATAGGCCTGTAAATTAAGCGTCTCGGAACTTATATTTAGAGGTGTATAAGCAAGCTAAGCTAAACTAGTTGTAAGTGGCGAGGGGTAGAATTGTACGCTAATCCACGCTAGCCTTAGAAAGGCTAAAAACGCATTACGCGGGAGATGCCTAGTCTATATAACCCGATAAGCAATCCACCTTTTTTATTCCCGCCCACCTTTTAATATTAAGGTTTTGCCCCTTTTAATAATATACACGTCCGGGCTAACCCAGCAATATAACTATTCTATTATATAGCTTAGTATCTTCTAATTGTACTAGTAGAATAGACTATAAAGAGTGCGCAAGTATTAGATACCGGCCTGCTAATATATAAGCTAACTGCCTTAACAGGCCTTTTCCTTAATATCTAGATAAGCATCTAGATATTAGTACAGCGGGAAATATTAGTAAGGGAATTTTAACGTGCGTATATATTAATCTTTGCCTAGCAACTGCTATACTAACTATATTATACTGGACAGGCTTCCGCTGGATATTACTCTTATAATTATCAACTAGTATATTAACCTACACCGGTTTTTAGTTCTATAGGTAGATAATAAGCAAAAGCTTATAAATAAAAACATCTCCGGCCTTCTTCTTAGCTGCAAGTGCATGTTTAACCTTGTTAGGGCAAGGCTATACTCGGGTTTCTTTTATCGCTCCTAGAAGATTAATATTAAAAGCCGTAAAGATCTCGACTAGCTAAACGGCTAAGGTGCAGTACTCTCGACAATGCGCTCTATATATATTAAACTTGCTATATAGCTCCCTCCTAGGCAGCAATAGAGTTGCCGATTAAAGAATTAGAAAAGACGGGAAATTATAGCTTACTTAAATCGGCTTAAGAGGGAGCCTAAGTACTATTAAACGCCGCAGGATATACGCGCAACTATAGATTCCGAGATGTATTACTATGTTGCCTATATTCCTATATATTAACACTATTAATCGCTTGTTAAGCACCTAAAAGCTGCCCTTTCCTAGTACCTTAATAATTAGTCTGTTTTTACCACAATTAAGGTAGATTAGAGTAATATTAGTTGTATAGACCGCCTTTACACTAAGAAAAACAAGTCTAAATAATAGAAGGAAGATTTTTTATAGTTGTTAAAAGTCTAGTGCTTAAAATACTAGAGTATAGGATCTTTTAACAACCGTTCCATATATAAGAAAGGATTCTGGGTTATTTTAAAGATAGACCAGCACTTATTCCGCTTCGAACAGTTAACCCAGTTTAGTAATTAACAAGGGATTCCAATAATAATATAACTTTATTAAAGTGCGGGGTTAGTAATAAAGTGC